TCGCAACACTATTTATTGATGGACTTCATGTTGTGTACTGAGAGCAGCTGAAATGAACAATCTAGTGAGGGAGACAGGTGGCTTAAACATAAGTAATGGAATCATGGTTCAAACTTATTTTTCAGGCAAAATAGTTGTCACCATACTCTCCCCATCCCCTTATCCCCCTGTGTAGCCACAAAACACAGGTTAACTAAGTAGTTTTGAGTTATCTTATAAATTTATCTTTCTTGACAAACTTGTTTTGTATTCACAGAAAGAAACACACACAAGAAATGGTTTCACAGATTTCTCTTCCATTTTATTTCTCTTTTGCATGATTTTTAAAAAATGTTTTATTGTAAATTATGTGATAGTTTATATGGGAGAACATTAGTTTTACATTCATCCTATTGCATCATTTCATTGCCATGACTACAATCCCTTTCATGCATCATCAGCCAACCAAAGGGTATACCCTGCAAGCCTCCCACCTCCCCCAACCCCTGGTCGTCAACACACAGCCCCTCTCCCTCTCTAAGTCTAAAGTCCCCAGCCACTCCATCTTTCCATGTCATCGTCTCTGCCTCCATTTCTGGCATCACTGCTTCTCTGGGTAGGGTCCCGCTCTCTACTCTTCTCCCTTGATGGTCCCAGGGACCTCTGCTCCTAGACTGCAAAGTTAATCACTCCCCTTCTTGCTACAAAACTTCTACCTTTACATTTCCAACCCTCACAAGCAGTCCTGATAATAATTATTCACTGTTGTATCACAAGAGACCTATCCACATTTTCTTTCATCAACCGAGTCCAGACAGATTGGATACTACTCAGTGGAGATTCTGCCTTCTTCCATGCCCTCTGGATGTAGGTTCCCTTTTGAAAGCTTGTAAACCAGTCACTTCTTGCCTTTGTAGCCCCCTTATTTTGAGTAGCCAATGTCCAAGTTGCCCATCCCTGTCTACTCTGTGTGTGGAGGGGGTGGAAATGATTCTTGCTGTAAGGATTTGTTTCCTCTTTTGAGCTACTGCATCCATAGGTGTAGGTCAAGTTCATCAAGTTGTATCCGATTACTCTTTTTTTCCTCTTGTTTCTTCTTCTAGTTGAGCTCTGATCATCCAGTCATTGAAGCCAGGTCAAGTGGGTATTATCTGCAGGTGTGGGTGTTCTTGTACATATGCCCTCTCTTCTTGTCAGCCGGACGTTTCACTTTCCACTCTAGTCCTCTGTGGCTATGTCACTGACTCTGGGCCCAACAGTCCCTGGGTCTTTCTTTTGCATGATGTTTTATTGTGATTACTGAGTATGTTTTGAATATTCTAAGTATGATTTTTTTTCCCTTTATTTAAAATTTTATTGGCTTATAACATAATATAGAAAATTCCACAAATCCCAATTGTAAATCTTAGCATAATTCCCGGGTACAACACTCCTTGGGTCTAGAAATTAAATTTTACCAGCGTCTTAGAATACTGTCTCTTCCTCCTCTTGTTTGTTCTTACATCCCTCCCATCACTCCTGATTTTTAACAGCAAAGATTTGTTTTGCCTATTTAAAGTTTTAAAGACTGAACTCACAGAGTATGTGCCACTTTGAGTCTGTTTTGTTTTTGTTTGTTTTTTTTCAGTCAACAACTGTGTTTTTGAAATTTCCATACAGTGTTGAGGCTGTTATGAAGAAAAGCCCACACCAAAATTGCACACAGAAAGAACCACACTTTCATACGTGAAGAGGCTTATAATGAGGAAGTATTAAATTGTTTCTGAAAAGGCCACTTCAGCCTAGGTTGTTGTTGTTGGGTGCAGTTGAGTCAGTTTCGACTCATAGCAACCTTGTGCATAGCAGAATGAAACACTGACAGGTCCGGCACCATCCTTATGATTGTTGTTACACTTGAGCCCATTTCTACTTACACTGTGCTAATACATCTTGCTGGGGGTCGACTTCTCTTTCACTAACCTGCCACTTTACCAAGCATGATATCCTTCTCTCATACCTGAAATATGTGATCAGGAGAGACTGATTCTTGGTGATCACATATCCCAGGTATGGGAGAAGAAGTCTTGCCATGCTGGCCTCTTAAGGAGCATTCTGTCTGTACTTCTTCCAGCACAGGTTTGTTTGTTCTTCTGGCACTCCATAATACTTTTAATATTCTCCTCCAACACCATAACTCAAATACATCAATTCATCTGTGGTCCTTTATTCACTGCCAACTTTCACATGCATATGAGATTATTGAAAATACCATGGCTTGGGTCAGGTGCACCTGAGTCCTCAAACTGATATCTTTGCTCTTCAACACTTTAGAGAGATCCTATAGAGCAGATTTGCCTAGGTTAGTGGGGGCTTTTTCTGTGCAGTTTTCATATGGGCTCTTTTCATGTGTATTTTTCTGGTTACTAGTGCTGAGTGTAGCAGTTCTCTTTCATTTTTATAGCTGTGTAATACGCAGTGTTTAAAGAATACACAATATTGTTTATCCATTCTAGTATTTATGACATTTTGGTTGATAAACAAATATGCTTATCTTTTAGGCATATGCTTTTGTTGTTGTTGTTCAGTGCCACTGAGTTAGTTCCAATTCATTGTGATCCTTGTTACAACAGAATGAAAAACTGCCCAGTCCTGTACCATCATCACTGTCGCTACATTTGAGCCCCTTGTTGCAGCCACTGAGTCAGTCCATGTGGTTGAGAATCTTCCTTTGCTTCACTGACCTTCTACTTTACCAAACATGGTATCCTTCTCTAGGGACTGGTCATCCTGATAGCATGTTCACAGAGGGCAATAACAGTGGGCTCAAACAACAATTGTGAGGACAGGACGGTGCAGGACCGAGCAGCATTGTGTTCTCTTGTGTGTGGAGAACTGACTGATGACATCTCATAACAGCAGGAGTCCTGGTGTTGCGCTGTAGAATAAGCTCTCGACCACAAGGTCGGTTTACACTGCAGAGTCGGCAGTTCAAATTCACCAGACACACCTTGGACACTCTATACAGGATCGCTCTGGGTTATAACCAAGTTGACGACACCTAAAAACAACAAACTATTACCTAACTGTCTTCCAAAGTGTTGCTACATACTCATAATTTTAGATTAGTGGGAATTAATCCATAGATGTAAGTACACATGTATATGCATGTGTAACTACATCTAAGTGTGCACTTATATACCTCCATACTTGTTTAAAAACTTTTTTCCCTCAGAGGAGGGTGAATGTTTGATCTCTTACTGTAGCCCAAGTTTTCAGGGAGATATTTCAGGCATGACACAGTTGGTTTGCTTGGTAGGATCATTTTGCATCTCTCTTTCACTAGCCCTCTGATGAACTGTATTAGAAATCATCTGGAACAGAGCCTCTGAAAGCTAAAGGAGTCTCTGCACTATAGAGTTTCTATGTGAACTAAACTGGTGCCCAAAGGACAGGCAAGCTGAGAACATCGAGGATTTATCCTCTCTGCTCACAATGGAAAATAGTTAAGTATAATAAATTCAAGTTTTCATCTAAAAAATTGGGTTGCTTATCGTTCATTGTTATTTCATTGGCTTTGTTAGGAAAAGAGGATGGGACTAATCAAAGCACAATATAATAAACTCCTTTAATGTGTTCCTGAATAAGCCTAATGGTACCAGAAATAGATGAGGGAAGAAGTAGCAGGTAGACCTGCATGCTTTCAATTTAGACTCACTGTGAAATTGACTGGAAGGGCTGAGAAATAAGTGGTTGAGAGCTCAGACAGAAATTAATTTTACTTTGGAAGAGACTAATTTGATGTTGCTAATAAAGGTGTTTTAGAATGTTCCTTCTGATGACTTGTAATGAATTTGTAATACTAGTAAAAAATGGGAGAACTTATGAAAATTGTAGCTTCCAAAGAAAAATGGCAAATGCTAGATTCTCCACTTTGTGCTCAAGTGATAAGTACAATTAAATGCATGTTAATTGAACCAAACAAACTTAAAATAGATTTCTAGATCTATTATGTTCTGTTAGGCAAAGTAGAGGTTCAGTGAAAAAGAAGACCCCCATCACAATGTATTGACACGGTGTCAGCAACAGTGGATTCAAAAATAGCAGTTAAAAGTATGGTGTAGACAAGCGGAATGCGAGACCCTATCCAGAGAAACCGCACCACCAGAGATGGAGGCAGAGATGAGGACATGGAGAGAGGGAGCAGCTGAGGATTCTAGACTCATGGAAAGAGAAGGACTGAGTGAGTGCTGGCAGCCAGGAGGTAGGCTTGCAGAATGGCGCCTTTTGGTTGTACAAATTATTTTATATTCCTGAGTGTTTCTGTGTATATCTCCCCACCCCCATCAAACAAAAGAAAGAAAGAAAACCAGAGGGAATGAAAGCAAATATTGTTGAATGATGATGCATGGAGGAGATTGTAATCATTGCAATGAAACGATGATGTAAAGCAGATGTTCTCCCAAGTAAACTGTCATTCAGTTCACAATAAAAAAGAAAGTGTCACGAAACAAAATGTGCTTAAATTGTTGAACAGAAAATCAATTTCCTCTAAACATTCACTCAAATCACAATAAATAAAAAGTTAAAACAAAAACAAGTATGGTGTAGAACTGGGCAGCATTTCCTTCTGTTGTGTGTGTGCACAGGGTCACTATGGACCAGCGCTGACTCAGTGGTACCTCAGCAACAACCCAAACCTAAAACCCACTGCCATTGAGTTGATTCTGGCATAGGGTTTCAGAGGCCATAAATCTTTATGGAATCAGAAAGCCACATCTTTCTCTTTCAGAGAGGCTGGTGGGTTTGAAATGCCGACCTTGTGGTTAGCAGTCCAGTGCTTATCCTATAGTACTGCCAGGGCTTCTTTTAACAGTAACAACAATGACT